GCACGTGCGCGCACACACACTCACGCAGATCCATTTCCCTTCTGCTCTTCCTACAGAGCAGCGTGTTATGGGGGAGATTCAGAGCCCCTGTCACCATGGCAACCTGGGCCGGTGTAACAGCACTACTGTGTGTCTACGTGTGTTCATCTGTGTGTACATGCGTGGGTGTGTATGGTACCAAGGGCTACACGTTTTTTTTTTCCAATGCTTTTAGCTGCCAAAGATGGGGGAGCCGCACGTACATACTGTACACGCTCGCTCAGGCGGATTATGCAAATCAATATCACTCAAACTGTTTAGCCACATAATAACGCTCTTTCAATCACATACACAAACATTTTCACGACCAGTCAACGCACAATATAGCCTTAAACAATTCCATGTGTCACTCTTTTAGCTGCTCTAATGAATGAGCTGAATTCTGAACTTCCATCCATTTCAGCTTCTTCTGCATGTCATTTACTTCATTTAAAGAAAAAAAGAGTTCATGAGTTCATGCACATGCTGAAAAAAAGCGATGCACTCAACTGAGTACATAATTTCCAAATGAATAAAATGTATCACAAAATCACATTTTTGTCTTTCAATGTGAAAATGATGAACAGATTGGAATCAAGACAACTGAGTGCATCATTTTACTCAGTGCTGATTCTAACACTACAGTACGAAAGCCTGACGTTATCTTGGCTCCAAAAACATGAGACACAGATGGTGGGTCTAGAGTCATGCATTGCGTACGGACCCCCTTCTGTGGCCATTCCTGCTTTTAGTGTAGGAAACGTCAGGGATTCCATTCTGAGCTCAGTGTGAAATGTAAATATCTGCTTCACATCCTATGGATAAATTAGGGAAAGTGTATGCATGTTTGTGTGTGCATGACAGTGTAATAAACTATGTAACAAAACCCAGTTCATTTTCATGCGTGAGATTTGCACGCAACACTAAGATAATATCAGTACATAGTAATAATAACTGTGTAAGACCAGCTAGACCACCAAAACTGTTCCCATCAGATAAACAGCACTTAAAGCTTTCATCTTTGAGAGAGAGAGGAGAAAATCAAGCTCCACTCTCGCTTCAGATCTGATAAAATCCACAGGTGTTTCTGCCCATCCTTCCACTGTGAGAAGACAACACTATTAGCCTGTTCACAACTTGCGTTAACATGCATTTCTGGTGATTGAATCACGTTCAGATTTCACCTGATCATAGGAAAAGCCAGTTGTAAACACACCCAGGAGTCATTGTGATTGGATTATGATCCGATCATTTAAACCACATTCAGAGGTGGTCAGAGACAGATCCTGACCGCATTTAACACAAGTGTAAGTGGAATGCATTGATGAGCAGGTGAGAGAATAAACAAAGAAATGAAAAGATGGAGGATACACAAGACTGAAGTTATCTTCAAACTAAGACCCTTCATGCAATCCAGGCCAACAAAAGCATCCAAGCCAAGCTTGTCCATTTGTATTATAATAGGAAAAAAGTTAACAAAAGCAAAACAGAAACAGCGTATATGTTCATGTGCTTTTTTACGTGGGGAAAAAAATTGGATCTCATCTGTTTAAACTGGGGATGCATTGTAGTGAAAAGTGTAAATGGTGTAAAAAGCGTAAATCCGGCCAAAGTATATCCAGATATGACCCGCACACAAAACCTTAAAATCCCAGGCTTATTATATACTAAGGCTTATTATTCAGTAACTACAGGGACTTCAGTGCAAACTGCCAGACCTATTCTTGGGTTATAGAAGTGTGTAATGAAACTTTGGGCCCGCTGGTGGGCCCCAGCCATTTAAGGGGTTAACGCAAGGTGTAAACAGGCTATATGGGTCTGAAAGGATGTGTAGCTGTCCAGAAGCTGTTACTGAGAAAAAGAATAAACAAAAAAGAAGACAATTGGCACTAGAACACTGAAACTGGACATCTGACATGTGGAGTAAGGTTTTTTGTGGATTGATGACTAAGTTTGTATTTGGGATTACTTGATCGGGAGAATCAAAAAATTCAACAATATATTGCCAAGATAAGTGGTAGTAAATAATATGCTTAGGCGCCTGTCTTTTACATTATTTACTCAATCTTATTCCAATTCTCTCCCAAGGTTAATCATAGCCAATTCCCACTCACTTTATATGATCCCACTATTACAAAACAGCTACTAACCTGTGATGACTAACACTTGCTTCTTCTGTGACACATTCAGCCATTTACTGCATCTTTTTAAGCTGCTGCTCACGCAACATCATAAGACTAATGAATGTGTTCAGAAGAGAGTACTAACTGCTCAATTAGGCTCACATCACCAAACAGACACATGCAAGTGACATTAATCTGTGGTCATCAGGGGCAGAGAGGAACTAAGCTACCCTTCCACAAAATGAACTGATCGCTATGGGACGCCTTCTCTGGCTCCACTCCAGAATCAAATGGGCGCGGCTTGGGGCACTTCTGCTGGCACGGTGCCAGTGCCAGTGCCAAAGACTGCTTCTTGGTGCGGGTGTGTGTTTGGGCCTGGCATAACCTTTCCTGTGTGCGTAAGGGGGGTAAAGTTTCCTGTGTTGGGAAGCAGGGGGGAGGCTTTTTAGTGCAACATCCCTTGCTGGCGGGCAAATGTCATGCAGCAGGGGCGTGGAGGAGAGGATGCGAGGAAAGGGAGGAAGTATTTCAGCGTGACACAGGAACCTTTCTTCAAATGTCAAGCCCACATGAGGGCGAGAGCTACAGGTGCAGCATCTGTGTAGGTGAAGGAACACGGTGTCTGTGAGGCTGTGTACCAACAGATCTGCGGTTAAACAGGTAAACATAGGTCATAAATGGCCAGCTAACATTAAGAGAAGGCCTCCTACTCTTTTCTACGCTGCAGACCGCTCCCCAAATAAATAAATAAACTCAGGGAAGGATGAGGACAACTAGAACAATCGCAGACAGACTACAGTGTACATTCACTTTTTCAGCAAGTTAATTCTACCTAGGGCTGAGCAAGAACACAGTATTTCACATTACATCAAAATATGCTCTTCTGTGATCTCATAGACATTGTCAATACTTGATTCAACGGTTGAGAGTGGTGGTGATAGGAATCAGGGATTGCAATGTCTACATCACAAATATAGCCATTTTATTTTCTATCCCAAACCACCAGAGAATCTGCATGTGTTCTCTGAGTTTTATATGCAATGTTGATAATATGGTGGAAAATCGGAAAAAAAACCTGTTTTCTCTGAGGACTATTTTGCCTTACAGTGCCCTGCATGTACCTCTCCACCATGATTGGATTTAAAATAATTACAATTAAGGCCAAATGATTGTCTCCAAACAATGAACCAGACACCAGGAAACATATTCATAACTATTTCACCTAATAATTTTTTGTGATGTAACATTTAGACGCACTGAGTTGTCTGGTTCCTATCACTATCACTGTGATTCTGACTATGAAAGCATTTCACATCAAATCACTTTGAATGACTTTATTTACATCTTAACCATTCAATTATGGAGAAAATTTGAGAAAGTGAACCCCCCTTTAAAGAACACTGACCAACTCAATACAAACCTCAGAAAAAATAAACATTGTGATGCACATTGTGTATCGTTTACATTGCACAATTTGTGACAAATGGACCAATAGAAGTGGTCCAAAATTACTTCTAAATTACTGGTGTCTAAAAGTCTGAGATTACATTAAAAACTGGGTTTATTTTATCTAAAAAATGGAAATAAACAGCAGAAAGGTTAAGAATTTAGAAAAAGACAAAGAAAAGTCAAATGAAGAAGAAATATTAATTATACTGCACTATTTCTAGGTTACTACAATTCTAGAGTTTAATGCTGTGAAGTTTCAAAACACATGATTTACGCTTCAGTCCATACAGTCCGTATATAAAAAACTAAGATACAAACACAGCCTGTTTTAAAATCATTGTGACATCATGAAAAACCAAATCCTTTACATATATCCACCTATTGAATCCACAGCAGTTTAGCTCCACCCATTCACACTGAAGTTACAAAGAGTGTTTCGATGCTTTTCGAATGAGGCACAATACAAGGCTGCCTATCAAAACAGAGGTGATTTATATACAACAGACTTAAAGACACATAGCCTCTTTCATTCTAATTAACAAAGGGAAGTTGGAAAATGGGTATGTAAAAACAAATTATGACTTCATAATCTGACCTCAGGAGAAAAAAATAAAATGCTAAAATTAATCAGTTTAAGGAAATTTATAACACTGACCCTTTTAATGTCTTTGTATAAGAAGGTCAGATTCCTGTAAAGTCTTACTCTTTCTACTGATCCTCGTGTTCAGACGACTCATCCACTCATCAGAGGGTTTTGTACAAACTTGTGGAGTTTATAGCACGAGTGCATGTCGTAACTAAAGCAAACCAAGGGACATACATATCTGAAATTCATGCACATATTTCAAATATTCTGCTTTTCACTCAAATTGTTATAATTTGTATTGAAAAACTTTGTTTCAAATTAGAGAGAAATGCAAACTAACAGCATTTTCACTTGTAGTCTCAGACGTTTGGTAAGCAAAGTTTTGATACAACATTTATTAAATTACTGACCTATATTCCATTTTGTGCATAATAAATCAGGGGGATGCAGTTTCTAATTCCTTTTTTTTGTTGTAACTTGACTACATAGCTGCTGAAACTAGCTATTTTCACTAGTCAATAATAAATGACTACTATCCCTAATAGATTACGCTAAAATGTGATAATTTCCTTGAAGTCTACACATGTGGTCTCTGGTCTTTTCAGTTTTGGTTTCCACAAATGATGGGGCATGGGTCACACACAGCCTCCCACACAAACAGCACTCATGTGTTCAGCAGGATGTCATTCTCAAATCAGATTAGTTTTTCTTCTTGTTCTTTCAAGGCCTTATTAATTGGGCCATTACCCACGCTTCCAAATTGTGACTGTTCTTGCAGCAAAGATAACAATGTGGTGAAAATGATAGACGGCCTGAGGTCTTACCTGCCGGACAAAGCTGTTTGAAGTTGTGTCCGAAGAGGTGCTGCCATCAGAACGCTTAAAGCGACTCTTCCTCTTAGCATACTTCCCCTGAGAGATGATCATTAGAGAGAGACATAGAGAGAGACAGAGAGAGAGAGAGAAAGAGAGAGTAAAATGGGGTGTTAGGAGTTAGAAATGACCACTGTGCAGACACACACATACAAACACAGCCTAAACTTCATGTCCTGTCTCCATGTCCAGATATGATTACCCATAATGACTCATGTCCGCCGGTGCACCGTGGGACCCTGTAATCTGATTGGCTTGAGCTATGGCCAATGGCCTGCCTGCCCTGGGCAAGGCCTTGTGTGGCATTCATAGGCGCCAGACTCCGTTGCCATAGAGACCTGAGAAAGGCTAATTGGGTTTGGTGGCAATAAAAGACCCTGACGGAACAGGCAGCCGCTGTAACATCACACACACACACACACACACCCTGACAAAGATGCTTAATAAAAGTACAATTAGACCATTGTTCTTCCTCTTCCTTCTGGCACCCTCCCACACCTTCTGTCTCTCTTTTTGTTCATCTCTGAATGAGCCACATGTAGGATTTCTATGATGGTGCAAACTTGTTCACCACACGTTTGACAGTTCACCACAAAAAAGTAAACTCTAAACTTATATTTGTCTGTTTAGGTCCTATTGTTCTTAAAGCTTTTATAGAGAAATCACTGGGCATACCATCTTTGCCAAAGGTTTGCTTTGCTGGCTACTGGCTTCACAATACGATATATTTTTCACTACAAGTGTCACAATACGATATAATACAATCCAGTATGATAAAAAACAATGTGACTTGATATGATACAATACAATGTGATACAAGCTGATATGATATGATACAATATGATATGATACAATAACTTCAGATCCAGATAATATCCTGGGATTTGAATGTGAAAAGCTTAGGTGCTGTTCAGTGTGAGGTGCTGGTCAGAGCACACAGAAGCAGGAATGAACTGCTTTCATTTTAAATGCAAATGCAGCAGCACAGGCAGTAGTCAGTATGACACACTGCCTATGTGTGTAAGAAAGTATGTGGCTGTAAAATTACAAGTGAACAATATAGTCACTAGCATATGCTACACACTACATATATCTCAGCAGTTAACCTAACTCGAACTCCTACCTAATATAAATGACTTAAAATGGTAGAAAATTAATGAAGATACTAGTTCATTAATTCACATAACAGCACAGGTAAGACTGAATTTTCTTCACTCTGTGCTCAGTTGCTCTAAAATACATGAAGTGCAAAATGTCAAAGTGAGATGCATTCTTCTACAACATAGCCATTTATACAAATGATATTTAATAAAGAGTAAACCCCTAACCATTATAACGTAGGTTTACCACATGCTGGATGTGATAAATACAATATTCTCAGATTTGAACGCAGTATCTTGCGATAAGAACACCTGAGCAAGTTTCCATAAATTCATAATTTCAATGTGTGTGTCACCACATGTTTATCAACAATATATTGCCGTATTGATATTTTGAAAATTTACAGCATCTATGTGTTGCAGTATGCCAAATCAAATTTTCACGTTTGAAAAGTTTATCTTGCACTATCAACATTAGTGGTAGAGTTTAGAATTATCAGACCAATAAGCCTACTAATGAGTCTGATATGTAGCACCTTTAAGCCTTTGCTATGAAAATGAATCTGTTTTTTTTTTTGTCCTCACAAAAATCAACTTGCAGACAGTTCTTTACAGAAAGAACAATCAATATTTTTCCACTCAGCAATGACGGCTTAAAATTTTACCAAGCTAGTTTGTGTTTAATGTGAGACCAAATATTCTCTCTAGGGTTTAAATCTGGACTCTGAACAGCCGAACAGTAAAAATAAAAAAATCAGTAAAAAACATTATATTTTGGGCTTGGCACATTTTTTTGCAGGGAAACATGTATATATATATATATATATATATATATATATATATATATATATATATATATATATATATATATATATATATATATATGTATATATACATACACTTTGGGGGTACCAATACTTTACAATATGTTTGCTGCTTATTGTTTCTGTCAATGTTTGGCATATTTTTTCTTTAAATAAAAAAAATATATAGCCACAAAAAACACAGAAATGTTTTAGCAGATTAGTCATATTTGCCTTGTAGCCAAAGTCTGAACCCAAAAAGTTCTGGGATTTTTTTTCTTGACCACTTTTACACCTACGTTCCTAAAGTTTCTTAGATTATTTCTGGTTCACATCATTTAAATATCACAAATACTCTTCTGCTTTAATTACAACATCACTGTCCTGAAAAAACCAAAACAAACATGTATCTCCAAAATAGTAACTTTACAATAACGTTAATGTTTTGTTTTGTTGATTTTCTAAATGAAAATATATACATATCCTCTGCGGAGAACACACTTTAACATATTAAAAAAAATAAAACATAAAATTTGGCCTGTGAAAAAGTTATGGCATATTATTTATGTTTTTCCAATATATTAAACTCAGCAAATAAACATAATTTGTGCACTACAATTTCCAGACAATGCCATATTTAAGTTTGTTTCCTGTAGAGACTGTGTTAGAAAATCAACAAAACTTGAAGTTTGACTGGGGGTGTTCAAACTTTTGCATACAGCTGTAACTTAACATGATTGTCATTTATAGGTCCATTCATCATACACTGTGCACACAATGTAAAAGATAACTGCTGCTAAAAATAAAAAAAAAATGGAAATGCATGTTTTTGAACAGCTATTATGTGCTGTTTAGAAAACAGACTATTTTCTGATATCAATGATACTACAATCTGTTTAAAATCTTAGGTCAGATGGTGTTTATAGTAAAATATACGCACCGTGTGTTTATTTATCTCATTAAAATCTTAGGTCAGATGGTGTTTATAGTAAATTCTGAGCCCAGTGTGTTTATATATCTGACTGAATCGTAGGTCAGATGGTGTAAAATGTGCACGTATTGTGTTTATTTCTCATTGAGTACAAATTTGTGTGGGTGTGGTGCATAATGATACGCATTATTGGTAGAGTTTGGTGGTACATATGCACAGGGAGGTCGGCAGGGAGAAAAGGCCAACAAAATGTCATGGAAGGGAGGAGGGATTTGTCACTATGGCGATGAGAGACTTCCTGTTGACAAACACCCTCTGAGCCTAATTGGATAATTGAGAAGGGGGGCTGAGCTGGAGCGATGGGGTGAAGGATTTAAAAGTTGCCCAGTTGAACCTCTAAGTGGAGTAGAGATAAAACGATGATATGGAGTAGATAAAAGAGGAGAGGAGCAGATAAAATAGAAGAGGGGAGCGATGAAGAGAGAATGCATTACAGCATTACAGCAAAGCATGTCCCTCTAGATCCTTGCAGAATGTTCCAACCGCCCACACAACTAAGCAAAAAAATATATTTCTGGTCACAAATTGCCAATTTCTTTTTGTAAAAGATGTAAGAAAAGAAAAAAGAGGCATGTGGAGAGAATAATGAGTGCAGCATTTCTAATCTCTATATACTATGGTTGGTTTACAAGCTCGGTTCTTATCCTTCTGTTGACCAGAAGCCCATCAATGTTCTAATACTGGCAATCACACATGCACTTAATCCACACCTACCCCTCCACCTACTCACTAACATACTCTAACACAACCAGCTTCATCATTACCACCACCATCGCCGCCTCCTCACAGCTATGTATAGAGATGATTCAGATGGAGCACCTCTCAACAACACAGGTCTCTGCATTATATAAAAGTCATTATATATATAAAAAAAGGCTAAAATATTGTTTATATATACTCTAAACACATATTCTCACTTATTCTGGAGAGATGGGATAAATGGATATACTTTAGATCAACTGGTCAACGAAAGAAAGAGGCTGAGAGGAGAGTCTTCTTCTATTCCGCTCGAAATGTTCTGTGGCTGTCAGTCAGAAAAAATCTATCATTCATGCCAGGATTCAGTGAGAGTGGTCTCTGCTAGATGGTCTCAAGGATCACCAGGGCCACTTTGCCATGAGCAATGCGTAAGGCAGCAATTCAATATTTCATTTTAAATATTACTGCAATGTGATGCAATTGATATGCAATGTAGTATGGTATGGTATGTATTCGGCTAACAATTCTTTGCCAATTTTATTCAATAAACTTCACCAAAATCAGGCAGATGGTAAACATTTAAATGACTCCTATCATACTGTTGCTGTCAGAACAAAAACTTGAACCTCCAAAAGCGTAACTTTTCAGGAAAAGGAGAAAACATTCCTAACTTGAAATGTTAATGTAACAAGATTTTAAGTCATTTTGAATCATTTCTATTGGTCCATTTATCATGAAATATTCTCACAATGTAAAGAGCAGCTTGAACTTCTAAATAGTGTAAAATACCCATATACAATGTTTTGTCCCAAGAGCACATATGACAATGGGGAATGGCTGTATTGTGAAGACTGGGCACCAATGGGGACATACTGTATTTACAATATCACATCATATCCTTTTGAAGTGATTCACTGATCTGAACTGATGTTCCCCCTAGAACATGACTAGAACATCATGTCTTTGAGAGTATATTTAAAAGGTGGCACTAAACAAGTCCATGTCCATTTTAGAGGCTCAAATCACCTAAACTTGTACACCGGAAATGTCAACTGGACATCAGAAAGTGAAAAAAAGGAGCTAAAACATAAAAGGAAAGACTCTTGACACTAGACAGATTTCTAGACACTAGAAATAAGAGGCTGAAATGTATGTACATATACAACTACACCTCCAGGGTACATGTGGGCGTGGCCATAATGTAGCAGGATTAAGCAGCAGCAAAATGACATCATGTTTTATATGGAACATCACCAGAGCTCATTACTAGCATTAAAAGTGCCAAATATTCCCCTATTTGAACATTCAGGTGACAATATGCCACGGAGAGCCTTCTGAAAGTAGTAGGCTGGTTCCAGCCTTACATTCGAGATGTACAACTAAAACTGTGGCGAATAAAACCGTAATAAAAGAGGTGAACATTTTCAGAGAAGCCTAGCTGGTGACAAACGAAAACAAGCTGGTATATCTGGTTGATTCAGCAGGTGCTCGACAAGAAATGTACCAATGCACTTAGCTAATTCTACACTTCCACATATAACCTGTTATTCCTGGCTATTTAGACTGTATTCACTGTCGAGCACTGCATGCAAACTAGAATAAACACTTTTTCCACCCGTAGTCTGTTCCTGCATTCAAAGAAAGCAAGAAACGGTAAATGAGACACGTGAGAATTTAGCTTATAAATAAGGTTATTCCACATCACCAAATTACATTAGAAAACGAACATTTTTCGCTATTTACACCGTCTACAGCGCTGGAGATAAGCAGCAGGTGTGTAGGCTGTGTTTTTCCCCCCATCATTCAGCTGACGAGTGAGATCTCTTACCTGCGAGTGAGATCCGTGGTGGTCGAACATGTCCATCTGGATTTCCTGTGTGGAGGTGGAAGGCGTCCTGGACATACCTTTCTGTACCATTGATTTCAGCTTCTATTTGGTTGTCTCGTGTTTCATTTACAGCGTGTTGCGTTTCTTGGGTTGCTTTTTCTGTTTTCTTGCATTCATTGTCAGAACATAGTTCATCTGTTCGCACCGTACGGTCCACCGTGTTGCTTCTCCACTGGAGCTCCAGCCTCCCAGCTGTTAAAGCGGAGAGACCACGCCCCGCCTTTCTTCATCCATCAATCAATCACCCGGCAACGGGGCGGGGCTTAGTTTTTTTTCTTCTTCTCAACAGATTGGCTGAAGAGCTCTATGTCCTAAAGTTTGTACACACTTAATTCAACGTTTCTTCTGAAATCAAAGCTATTAATAGGGAGTTTGTCCCTCTTTGCCGCAGTAACAGCCTCTGTTCATCTAGGCAGGCTTTACACTAGATGTTGGAACATCGCTGTGAGGGTTTGATTGTGTTCAGCCACTGGTGCTGATAGATGATTACTTCTGGATCACAAATGGCACTCCAGCTCACACCACAGGTATTGGAAGGAGCTCCATCACCCCAGAGAACTCAGTTTCACAGCTAGATAGTCCAGTGCTGGGGAGCTTTATACCCGAGCCAGGGTCTTATATGAACTTTTGGGGGCCATAAGCTGCATTCTACCCCACCCATCCCAATTATATTCTGTATGAATGAATAATAATGAATTTTAAGCTGGAAAAAAATGAGAAAATCTCTGGGTTCACTGCACTTTTTGTACAAACTATATGAAAAACAATTAAAAGTACATATTCTTTGATTATAGAACCATGGACACCCAAAGAACCCTTTGCATGATTAAAAGTTTCTTGCATTATGAAAGTGTTCCTCAGATTGATTGAGAATGTGCTGAATATGGTTTCATATAGGAAGGAGTTTAAAAGAGTTCTACATAGCACCAAAAAAGGGTTCTTCTATCATTACCAGCTTGACATCATAACAAAAGAAGAACTATTTTTGGTGCTATATAGAACCATTCTCAAAAAGGTTCTATACACAACCATATACAACACATTTGCCATCAATCTGAAGAACCATTTTACCATTCAAAGAACCATTTAAGCATGACATGGTCCTACACAGAACTCATGGTCCTAAAGAGAACCATTCCTTTTACTAAAGAACGCTTGAAGAACCATTTTTAATAGAGTGTGGTGTAACTAATTCACTGTTATTCCTACAGTAGTTGCGTTTATAGGAGCACTGTCTGGAACACACCTAAAACCTGATGAAAATACAAAGGTTTTCTAGACTTCTTAATGTTGTGTTAAGGACACGGCATAAGATTTGGTGGTCAGGGATGCACAAACAGGCTTCTTATTTCTCCAGGCAATTCACACAGAACACATAGGCCCCACTTCAGTACTGATTTTAACATGCCCTTGTTGAATTGCTCTCATCACATTAAGGGCCATTCCATTACTTTCTCATCTCAAGTGTGGTTCATTACATAAGCCCTTGGAGTGCTGAGGGATGGAAAAAATCTTTTTCAAAGCAAGAAAAATGGCATACAAAGCTGTTTATTAGCAAAAGCGGGTGGGATAAAATACAATGTGTGCTCTGCAATGTAGTCAACCACTCCATCCATACTGACAGCAGTCAGACCTTTCTTTGCCTTACTCGGCTACCTCCTCAGCTAGCTTATGTTTGTCTACCCAATCTAAACCTTAGCTTGATTTTCTTCTCTTCTTCTGTAGCTGTATAGTTTGAGGGAAGCTGAGCATGTTAGCCAGCTGATGTACGTGAGATGCACTTTGTCATGAAGGGACCTGCTGAAAATTGATAAACACTTAATATATTTTTGTATTGTCCATGTAAATAGAATGTGAGGCAATTATTAAAATTTCTGTTTCAAAAATATGATTATTCTGAGATGTCAGTCCTATAAGGTGTGCTTATAAAGTTGAAACGAGGGCTGCACGGTAAATAAATAATTGGTAATAATGGTAATAATAATTTATGGCAATAAATAAATAAATGCCATTTTCCTGAATTCTCTATGAGGCTCTGGACTGTAAAATGATTACTTCCTTTATGTGTTATGGCCTTAGACTTCAAAATCCTGCTTTGTCCTTTAAAAGTGAAAATAATGTAACGGACTATTAGACTCTATGACTCGACACAACTTTGTAGTGTTTCTGTTGCTCTAGCACATTCATTATAAGTTCATGAAAGGCTTGGTAATGAGCTGTTGAGGAGTTAAGTTTACTGGAGAAAAATAATTTTGGCCATTTTATCAGGCACACCTACTATATTGTAGTATTGTATTATTGTACTTTTACAATTAATGACTGTAGCCCATCTTTCTGCACAATTTATTAACTACTATCTACCCTGAACATCTATAGATAGTGACCACCATGGGACTACTGACCAGATTGTATTTGCACCATTCTAAGCACAGCAGTGACACTCACATGGTAATGGCATGATAGTTCATTTTGTGCTGGCATGAGTGTATCAGGCACAGTGATGTTGCTGGAGTTTTTTTCTTCGGTTCACTACTGTATCAAAATAGTCCACCAACCAAAAATACCCAGTGGTTCACTAATCAAAAACATCCAGTGGTTCTGTGGTCAGAAACTGATCACTGATGAAGGGCTAGAGGATGATGCATACACTACAAAGTTTAAGGTAGGCGTGACTAATAAGATAGTCATAGTGTATACAGCAGTTCAAAACTCCAGCTGTGACTGATACACTCATACCAGCGCTAAACACACTAACATGCCACTACCATGTCAGAGTAACTGCTGAAAATGGGTTACCACCAAAATGCTTTTGGTTGTCTCTTTTTCATTGATGGACAGGATACAGGGGGGATGATAAATTGCATCAACAGATGGGCTACAGTGAGTAATTGTAAACCAGTAGGTGTTCCTCATAAAATGGCCAGTGAGTATGAGTATTTCACGAGATGTTTCCGTTATTTTGTACACCGCCTCTGGTAGCCTATAAGACTGGAAAACACTGCACTGCTTATGCATTAGAAGCCAATGCAGACATACCAACCACACTAGGTAAAATATCAAAAACACAAAAAAGGTTATTATAACTTTCTATATATTAACCTTTCTAGTAAACAGATTTTCCTGAACAAGAGGCTACAGTCAGTAGCTCTTACTGACTAGTATCTGCACCTTTCACCCTGTGGTAACTTACAGCAGCTTTCCATGCGGCCTTGTGTTGCACATGTGGTTTATACCATTTCATTCCTTGAGGGGGGGGGTTGTAGAAACCGCTGATCAAACCCAAACTAACAGTTAAGTCACTTCATTGTTTAATAAATTGTAGAGGAGCATTTCTGTGTAGAAATTGGAGTAAATAAACTATAACTAATAATTTAGACCAGTGTGTACATGTTTATTCTTTATTCAGTTAAACAATGTTCTGCGCGCACTGTTTTTAACCCATAATGGTACAGTCTCCGTGTCTGCTGCTGTTCGCTGTGTGATTTTTTCACTTAACCTGCAGCCATGAGGTGAGGATGCAACGTTGAGCTAATTTCATTGAAATTATCTGCTAATTTTATGTCTTTAAATATTTCGACTGTTCTGTAGGGCTAAATGTTGTTGACAAATGCCTATTTTTGCACAGCTGCGAGTGTAGAAGAATACAAGATCGCCATTTTGTTAGGAAATGAGTTGTCAGGCTGAATTATGGTCTAATTATTCGTCGTTAATCGATTTTGTCGATGTTTGTATGTGTGCTAAGTCAGTTCGTTGCCTTCGGGACTGAGAAGTTGCTTTCGTTACATTTGCTCTTTGGTCGTGGTTCGGTTTGGTCAGCCTGTCAACATGTTGAGACATGCCCTCAATAAACCAGCTAACGTCAGGCTAGCAGGTACAGAGTCGCAGGCGAATTGTTCACCTGACAGACGGCTCTTTGATTGAAAGTCTGGCTACGTTTTCATTTTGCTTTTCTTTTGGGTGACAGGTGAGGAGAATTCTTGTCAAAACATTGTTGTCGACTGTCTGCTCCCCCAGAAATATTAATATTAAAACAAGAGGCGCATCTAATGACGTCATGCATTTCGCTGCCACTTTAACATTAACATTTAACTGCACGTCCAAGTGAGTTAATGTCATCAAACCCTCGTAACAAAACCAATCTTCGTTAGATAAATAATAAGGCTGGACATCACGAGTATATCATCTAGGGCAAGTCAAAAGGAAACAAACAAATGGATCCCTGACTCACTTCCCACTAAAGCCCAATAAGCTTAATAATCATATTTTGGACATACTATCAGAAGAACCGACTGATTTAAAACACACTTAAGCTTGAAATCGTTGAAGACGTTTGATTTGGCCCACTGGAAAGTCACCCTGGTAAAGTATCATGATACTTGAAGATATTTTCAGGATACATAATATGAATCATGATATTTATTTTTGACATTTAATAATTTAGAACAGCTAAAATAGAACCTTTAGTGCCACATATGAAAATATTATAATAAACCTACAACTACAATGAGTTTTATTTAGTGTTTCACAAATTACGCTAATTGCGCTAATTGACTGATTAAGTTCTGTTTGTAATGAAACGTAGTTGGTCAGTGTTTTTAAGTAACAATATTTACGGTATGCTCAGAAAAGCATATTGTTACATAATTTATTATGATAATGACAAAATATTGCCATGTTGCCCACACCTATATATAATTTCAATGTATAAAATTCTTGGTGGAGTTGTGTAGGCAAAATATGGAAACAATTACATTGATATTTCAATATTTAAAGACATATAATGGAATGTGTGATGTTAATATACTCTAATATTCCCCAAAAGTGTCCAGACATCTATTCTAATTAGTGAATTCAGCTACTTTGAGGTGCACCTGTTGCTGACACATATGTTCAGTTGCACACACATAGCTTGTATACATAATCACCATTGCAAAGCATTGCCAATAGAGTGGGACACCCTGGAGCAGCCACACATGAGTCACCATGCCTAATGCTAGGCATTGGCTAAAGGGCCCCCCTAGCATTGGACTGTGGAGCAGTGGAACTGTGTTCTCTGGAGTGACAGAGCTCCATCCATTGGGATAAACTGGAGTTGTGTTTGTGATCTAGAACTAATCGTTCAACATTAGGACCTGACCCCCACTAATGCACTTGTGGCTAAATGCAATCAAATCCTCACAGCACTGTCCAGTGTCTAGTGTGAAGCCTTCCCAGAAGGGTAGAGGCTGTTATTGCAGCAAAGGGGAACAAAACACTATTAATACCTTTGATTCCAGAAGAAATTTTAGTGGGTTCTATAAAAAATATAAAGCTCATGATGTTACTGCCATTATCCAAGTCTGAATTACCTAATCTACTAATTATGTCCCACTGAATGAATACACTGTGTCTGTCACTAACTTAAGATTTACCTCTTCTCCTTCAGCATGCTCAGGCTTCAGAAGAGGTTGGCGTCCAGCGTCTTGCGCTGTGGCAAAAAGAAAGTATGGCTGGACCCAAACGAGACCAATGAAATTGCTAACGCAAACTCACGTAAGTGAATCAGATCAGAATGCCTGTATTAGTCCTGAAGCTGCCATCGTTTGTAGTTTCATGCTAACTTTGGTCTTGTCTGTCTCTTTTCTCAGGACAGCAGATTCGTAAACTGGTGAAGGATGGTCTGATCATTAAGAAGCCTGTAACAGTTCACTCCCGTGCGCGCTGTCGCAAAAACACGCTGGCACGGAGGAAGGGCCGTCACATGGGCATCGGTGTGTGCCAGTACACTATTTGTTTATTTTTATTTGAAAATGGCTGCTTCAGACTGAGAACAGTTTTATCTCTCTGTGGTTATGGTTATTATCCTAGTGGTTATTATATTGTCAGTGAAAAGACAAAACAGGGTAGTGCAGGCAGTACAATGCATACAAATGTGGACACATCATAAGTGAATTACTCTTGAGGTGAAATTTATAGTATGCACCCATTCAGTTATAGCTTCTAAATGAGGTTCACGGCACTGGCCTTTGGTTCTTTTGTTCGGAGCAATATTGTGAATTTGATGGGGCAAACGTCATTTGTTCATTAAATGTTTCAGCAAATCCTGATCATAGATTTAACCTCAGTTTCATCATATCTCCCTTAACTGTGGATATTTTCCTTAAACATTTGCTTCTCTGCCTTGAGATCCAAAAGATTTCCACATATTTCATCAGCGAGGACAACAAAGCACAGTGCACCATCTAGTGGTCATGAATTGCAACTTCAGATAAATAGTTTTAGCACCTGCAGTATCACATCTGGTGTTGCCATGACAATCTTAAAAATTTGCTAGGGACCACAAATGCAGCTTACAGTCTCCTCATATGGCCCACTGCAGAGAACAGATAGACTCTGATCAATTTGTAATGCACTTGCAGAGATATTGTGAAAAAAGGGAAGTAAAAGTAAATACCTAAGGAATTTGTGCAGCTGGTAGGTCTGTTTTAAGTGTTTTTAATGTGAATTTATTTCTTTAAGAATGTTCTGTTAATGTTCAGGTAAGAGGAAGGGTACTGCAAATGCTCGCATGCCAGAAAAGCTGTGCTGGATGAGACGGATGCGAATCCTGCGCAGACTGCTGAGGCGATACCGAGAGGGCAAGAAGATTGACAGGCACATGTGAGTTATGACACGTTCACAACTAAGACTTGAGTTGTTATGATATAAGTAGATCATTTATGGGCTATTCAGGTTCTTGTAGTCGACGCAAACTAATAATTCAGGCTAGATCATCTTGGATCTTGTTCAGGCCAAACAGTTCTTCAGTTTCTGACATAATTTGAAAATGTCACATTGGTTGGAAATTTCATGATGAATGGACCAAAAGAAATATGTCAGAATTAGTCTGATTACGTTCACTTACTTTAAAAGTAAAGTGTTTTTTCTTTCCTTCTCCTGTAAAGTTATCACTTTGAAGATAGGAGGTTTTGTTCTGATAGCAGTAGTATAATACAATGTGGATGTTGTTCTTTGCTGATCATATACCGTAGAGATATTAAAGGACGCTCAAAATGAAAAAAATAACCACATCTGTTGTAAGGAGTCTAACTCCTTACACTAACCTGCGACAGTGCTGCAGCAGGCTCTGGAGTAAGATTTTCTGGTTTAAAGACTGTGAAAACTCCCTTCAGATGATGTATCTTAAAGGTGGAAGGACATTTATGCGTTTTTGGGAGTGGGCTGGTTAAAATTTGTATTTTGCAGAAGGAAGGCAGAAAGCTAACCTTAATGCTAGGAAGCGGAATATTTTATTGCAACCATATAAGTTTGGCAACTGTAAGAATGGCTTACTCAAATGACAGAAACCACTTGTCAGATGAGTAGGACAAGCTACAAGCTACAGTTAGTAAGGTACACTATATGGACAGAAGTATTGGGACACCTACAGGAGCTTTTATGACATCCCATTCTAAATCCATAGGCAATAATATGGAGTTGTGTGCACTTCTTTTGCTGATGTTGCGTAAGTGAGTGATTCAACAGAGGACAGACACTATGCGCTTCAGCACTCAACACCCCCACTCTTTGAGTTTGCGTGGTGTACAGCTTCCTGGCTGAGCTTTTGTTGCTCCTAGACGCTTCCATTTCACAATAATAGCACTTACAGTTGACTGGGGCGGATCTAGCAAGACAGAAATTTCACAGACTGACTTGTGGCAGAGGTGGCATCCTATGAAAGTGCCGTGTTTAAAGTGACTGGGCTCATCAGTACGACCCATTCTACTGCCAGTGTTTGTCTATCAAGGCTGCAAGGCTGTGTGCCTAAATTTATCCACCTGTTAGCAATGGGTGTGACTGAAACTAGTAACTAGGAGGGGTGTTCCAATACTTTTGTCCATATAGTGTATGTAAGTTGGTACCTGGGTATGTAGATACCTAACCTCGGTTTGGTGGAAAAAATGAATTTATTATGCTGAACAGAGACAGAACTGTTGTTTGTATGATGTTCTTTGATGACAGAGAGGAGAATTACACCAATACTATGTTGAATTTACATTAATGCCTGGTTGGCAGTCAGGATTATTTGACATTTGACACCACAGGGATTCCTAATGGCGGTTTAATATATTTGCAAAATGCATGCTGGGTATTATAGTGAGATGAGCAAAAACTTAAAATGATATAAAATTGTGAATTCTTTCATACTGATGTGAGACTGAGGCATATAATGCTGCTCTACAGAATACTGCATAACACAACAAATAACATATTAACCTCTAGTTTTGGGTCAAATGCCCTTTTATTGATTATATTAAGACAAATGTGTTAGGAGGTACTACAACTGGTTAGTTACTTATAATATAGCTCTAAAAAAGACTCTAGTACCAAATATTGCTGTCAGTGGTGGTATATTTGAGACCCTCAGAAAAAATAACACTTTTTCTTCCCCACAGGTACCACACACTGTATCTGAAAGCAAAGGGAAATGTGTTTAAGAACAAGCGCATCTTGATGGAACATATTCACAAGCTCAAAGCAGACAAGGCTCGCAAGAAGCTCTTAGCGTGAGTATAGAAAATGTGACTGCCATTGTTCTTTCTCAATGGATAATATATTGCAGAGTTTGAAAGGGACACTGAAAGTTCTATGAAAAATGTAACTGCATCTGTTGTAAGCATCCTTACTCGTATTCTACAGCCGTGTCAGTGTAGTCTCCAGGATGAGATTTACTGGTTTAAACTAGGACTCTAGGGAAACTCCCTCCTGGTGATGTCTCCTGGATGTGAGAGTAACATTTTCAAAACTACGTCTGTGTTGTTTGGGGTGGACTGTTTGAATTTTTTTTTTTGCGAACAGAAGGCAGATAGCTAAAGTTAGTGCTAGGAAGCTGAATATTAGATTGTAGTTGTATAAGTGTGGGAACAGTCCTTAGAACATTACAGTGGAGAGAATGTATTGGTAACACTTTATTTGTAGTGGTCTTTTGTAGATGATTAATAAACTCTTAAGAGAATATCAGTAACACATCAACAACATATCAGTGAAGTAGCAGTAGTGCAGCATCTGAATACATTGAAGCGAATATCTTGTAGATGTTCTGTTGATACATTACTTACATTAAGTAGATGTATTGTTAATATATTGCTTCCATTATGCAAAACCTAATCTTACCCAGCCTTACCCAAAGCCTAATCCTAACCCTAACCTTAAGCTCAGCCCAGAGCCTAATCCTAACCCTAACCCTCATCGTTTTTGATGTCACTGGGAGTCCATTGAGTGTTTGTTTCATGTAAAAAGGAACACTTAGAATAAAGTGTCACCAATGTATTACTCAAAATTTTATCAAGCCATCCTGCCCTGAACTCTTTGGAGTGATAATGTAGAAGAACCACTTTTGCTTTCTAAGGAACCTTTCATTTGAATAGTTTCAGTTGATTTCATATCAATTCCGAAGAATCATGATTAGCACCCTCATTTTTAAGAGCTTACACAGTATACTGTACAATTGTTGTATTTTGAATGTATTATTTTACATTTAAAAATACTAATGGTGTACTGACACTGTGATTTGTCAGGGATGATTAGAATTTGTATGTTGATAAAGTTTCCATAGATGTCTGTGTTTCTTCTTTGTGTAGTGACCAAGCGGAAGCTCGCCGCTCAAAGACAAGAGAGGCTCGCAAACGCAGAGAAGAAAGACTGCAAGCCAAGAAAGAAGAGATCATCAAGAACCTGTCCAAAGAAGATGAAACCAAGAAATAAGCTTTTGCTTTTGTGTTTTGTGAGCTCTTCTCCGTTCCTCTGCTGTCTCATCTGTTCAATAAAGTGATTAAAATAGTGTTTGTCTTTCAAGAGTGAGCTCTTGCTCTGTTTAAACAAGCTCACTTAAACAATCTGTCTCACATGAATAAATCTATAGTGTTACATGAAAACTGATTAGATGTAACATGACAAGAATACGTATTATTGTAAGATTAATGTACAATAAGAATGTAATGATGCTGTTATTTTTCTGCCTAAAAAATCCAAAGACGAACAGCTAAGGCAAACCAAAAAAAGTGTTCAAATACTGAAATGACTCACATCTGGCAACCATTTGATTTAAGCAATGTCAGGCAGACAAGAAATTAAGATGTGTATCTCTTATCAGTGAATAAAATATGCCTGAACAATACTTTACAATATGTGTTCAGCAATACACTGGAAATAATTGTGATTCTCTTAGTATTTATATAATTTGTATTAATGGTAAATAAAAAAGTTAAATCATAAGACGTATTGTTCACATTGTAGTGTCGCATGCAGATTTGATTTTCAGTTGAATACATCTGAATTGTGTGAGTTTTTAACAGTGGTACCCTTGGCAGTTTTAAGTTTTGGTAAGAAATAGTAAAGCCAGAATGCAGTAGGTGTTATTCACTATTATTTTGCTGAAAGTTAGCCTTTATAATTGATGATGCCTATTGGAATAAGCATTTATAAACATTTTTGTAGGGTTGTGTCAGTTGTCGTGCCAAGAGTATGTAGGTGTCATGTAGCTTTATGATCAGTACCCTACAGTAAAGTGACACCAAAAATCTTTGAGTGTACATATTCAGGTGAGTTGCATGAGGTCTCTGCTGGAGTCATTAGTGCGGTTGCAGCCAGGGAGAGCATTTTAAACTGCCTTAATCTCTCCTAGCAGGCATGAAAACTCCAAAGTGCTCTTCATGTTCCAGTCACACTTTCAGGATACTTCACAAATTCTGTCTACGTGGCTTGAGTGGTATCGGAACAAGGGGGCCAAAATCAAGACATTTTCAAAGTTTGTTGCCACCTAGTGGTGGCTTCATTGCATTAAAAAATTATTAAGGCAGGACTGGATAAAGTGAGGCTACAAAGATTTTTCCTGCCAGGGCCTAATCCACCTCCTCATCCAGTGTTATACAACCTATATATGGCTGCTGTCGGAAGAAAACCTTGTATCTCAATTTTTGTTTTTCAGTTTTTGACATAATTGGAAAGTGCCTGTTATCATTAATATAGTCTGTAAATGTCATAAAGAATGGACCAAAAGAAACAGCCCAAAATGACTTGGGGGAAAAAAGTCTGGTTCCATTGTTTCACATTAAAAGTAAAGTAGGTTTTTTCCTTCTCCTGTAAAGTTATCATTTTATTTTGGAGATACAAAGTTTGGTCTTCTGACAACAGCGATGTGTATGTTAAAAGAATGTTACAAAATGTTATCAAACAAATTGCAACCCACTTTTATTTAAATACTGATTTTTTGCCCCTTGGCCCACCATAAACGTAACACCCTGCAACCTCTAAGCATCTATTATAGGAGAAATTCAATTGACAGCTTCTGAAAATCAGATTTTCCTTGATTTTTTAATAAGAGAAGTTGACATATTATCTAAGGTTAAAGTTTCAAAACTTACCATTGATTCCCCAGTTCATACAATGTGCATGTGGAAACTAAGAAGCAAAAATAGCCTGTTTTGTTTTTGTGTCACAAAAATCCGCACATTTACATATATTCCCCTATTCAGCTGACAGCAGTTTAGCACCCCCCACTCGTGTTGAAGTTAAAAGGTGTGTTTCAGCCAGGACTGCTTTTTTGTATGAGTTGCAACACCAGGCAGCCAATCAGAACTGATCTGTAAGGCCCAGGCCTGTTTTATTCTAGGGGATAAAGAGAGGCTGGAAAATGGTCATGTAAAAATGATTTTGGTACATTATACCACCACACAAATGTCACATGTGGATACCAGGGGGCAAAAATAAAATGAGCACACACTAGGATATGAGTCTGTAAAGGTAATGTTTCACCTAAATATACCTTTCAAATGTAATGATGAAAAGATCATTCTTAGTCTTGATTCTTATGCTACTTCACATATTTTTCATTGCTTTTGCCTTTGTGAAAGCTGTTGGCATCTAGGCATTTGACAAGAAGGCGTTTAGCCAGATGCCTTTTTTTTAATTAATTAATTTCTTTATTGTGCATCCAAACAATGCATTTAAGAATGGAGTTATGATGTAAGTGGCTTGGCAGTTATTTAATAAATTACATAACAATTTACAATAGTCATTCTTATGTAATGCATTAGGGAATAGAAAATTAGCAATTCTAATCTCAGCTAAACGGAAACTTTGTGTTTAACAGTAGGCTTCTACCAGTGACTTATAAAAGAGACTCTTCCAGTGAATGGACACGCAAATGTGGCCCTGATTCTACAAGCCAGAAAGCAGTGAATTGACAAAAGAGGGCAACGAGAGGCCCCTCGTGGGGATCTCTGTTGTCTGGTTATTTGGCGTTCTGGAAGGACATTGATTCAGAGGCAGTTCTTTAACTGTTTATGCTGGGCACTTACCAAGTCCTATTGCTCATTCATCCTCTCTACTAACCACAACAGAGAGGTCCTCGAATGGAAATTGCCAGTGTACATATATGCATGAACTTGTCATAAGGACACAATGATGCTTTAGCATCTGTCAAGTCATACTGAAATAGCTCAGTAAAAAGAGGCCAGGTCAGCAAAGAGTGCTGCTGCAGTGGGCAGGAAACCTGCTGGACTGAAGCAAATTCTGGAGCTGGATGGGGAATTTCCAGGGCTGCATTCCAAGAGTACATTAGAGATTAAAACAATCAATCTACACAAACACACATACATAAACACGCATACTTATTTTCACTGCTCAGCTAGACTTTTTCTAAACACATGCAACCACTTAGCTTTCAATTTTTTTTTTTTTATCCCTGCTTTGGTTTTTTGCACATTAAAATTAATACATTTGCACTGATTTCACTACTTTTCCGCCTTTCTGATTTTGGGTAGCTAATACATGGTCCTTGAAAGGAGTTAACAGGCTTCAGGTTTGATAAACTAACTTCACTGAATTGACTGTAGTGACATATCTAGGAGCTGAGCTGAAGTGTTCGTACTTTCTGTTCTGTAAACAAGGGCTGCGTTCCTGAAAATGACTTCTCCAGGCTGCCAAGCTAAAAATGTCCTTGCAGCACTGAAACGCAATGGAACACAGATTGACACAACAGAGTATTTCAAAAGAAGACAACTTCATCTTCAGATTTTTAGTTTAGGGGATGGCATACGAACAGTATGAACAATGAGGAATGGGTCTCATTCATCAAGCGTTTTTTAGGAAGAAATTTAATCTTAAAACCACTCACGCAGTTTTTATGAAGATTCCGACCTTCACCAATGATTTCTTCTTAGGTAAGAATAGAATCTACACACACTCAAGAGCACAAAGGTGTGAACAATTCTTGATGTAAAAAAATATTGATGTAAAAATTCTAACGTTTTCAAAATTTCTGACTAGTTAAATGGTTGAGATGCGAAAAAAATTAGATTCATAGTGGATTGATGTGAAATGCTTCATTCTAGAGGAAGTAACTGAGTCACAATTGTTCATGGTGGTGATGAAATGAACCAGACATCAGTGGAGTTTAATGCCTCTAAAAGCTTCCTCACAGATTTCATTGATAACATTGTTTCATGATAGTTTTGAAAAAAGGTTTTGGCCTAAAACATTTTTTAAATCCAGATACATGCAGGTCTTCATAGTTTTTTTTTCAGGTTTACCACTATTTTACCATTATTAACATTACATAGTAAAAACTAAGAAGATGAATTTAGGTTCACTGGTCATTTTAATAGTAAGTAAATAAAAATTTACTGTTACCAGCATTTGAGTTTTCTCTACAAAGCACAATTTAACATCAATGACTTTGAATGACTGAATGACTCTGATTGAATTGGTTTATATAAAGATGAGGTTTTGAAAAATGGGTGGATTTTGCATTTAATGTGGCCTTATGTCATAGATTGTTTGGCTGGCTTTACGTGAAACTTTCATTCAACTGTAACAGACAGCATAATGTTATTTACATTTTTAGAGACACCCCAGACTTTTGATTTTGACACATTCACGGACTCCAAGAAGTTAATTATGGAGTCCCAGACCCCTAAGGACCCCCTATATTTCACATCTTGTCTCTAACCCTCTATACTGACAGTGTTGAAGTACTCGAGTCCAGTTTCAAGATTGTAAATCAATGATCTTGGTCTTGCCTGAACATTATTTTGACTCAGTCTCTCATCTCAAGTAAAGGTGGACACTTTTTAAACTTTTTTCTATCATTAATGAATACAAACAAAACCTTCAAATAAAATAAAAGTAATTTCTCTACATTTAAATGAAATTTGTTCATTTCATCATTTCTTTTCAGCATCTTTTCCATGATGATTTCATTAGGTGTCACTGTCTGCTTCCAAAAATTACACTAAAACAATAATAAGTAATATAAGGCTGCATATTTTTAGTGTTATGTTTTACAAAATATATTATTAAATGCAATATATTGTATGAATATATATATATCATGTACAATGAATGATAATACATGTATAATAAACTACAAACAAATTTAATTTTCCCACCGTTCTTTTTATTCTTACATTTTAAAAAAATCTTAATCTGGTCTTGATCTTGACTCGGTCTCAAGTATTACTAATTCTTGATCTGGACTTTCTCAATCCAGGACTCAGTCTTGTTTCAAACTCACCTATAATGGTCTTGACTACAACATTGCTGACAGCACTCTTCCACTTCACTCTTTATCTTTTCATTCAATACTTTTTGCTCTCATTTCAGTCCATTCATTTTTAAACTCCTTGAATTTTCCACCAAACTGGGTAGAAATGTCAACTGAACGTACACAACTGTAGTTATCTATCACTGCATGCAGCAGTTGTCTATCAATGCTTGCTGTTCTTGCATTCATCCATCTATCCTCCATTAAAATACATTCATTTAGTAAATTTGTCAACCT